TAGCAGAAAGTTCTATCAAAGTACGCTACATGCCAGAAATGTACCAGGAAGGTTTTGGGCTAAAGCTATGAGAACTATGACTTATGTGATCAACAGGCTTCATCAACCAAGGTTAGATTTGTTTCTCCCTTTGCGAAATTGTGGGCTATGAAATCTACAGTTAGCTACTTTCAAGTATTTGGTTGTGTGTGCTATCTATTTGCTCCCAGTCATCCAATAGCAAGAAGGCAATTAGATGTATCTTTGTGAGATAGGACAACCAGAGAAAAGAGTGAAAATGTTGTATTCCTACGAATGGAAGATGTTACACATCATAAGATGTGATAAAGCATCACTTTAGTGATCCTTACAAAAGGAGGTGTTGTCTGACTCGAGAGAAATTTAAGATACGTTGCTGCAGATGATAGGGGAGCAAATTGTCCAAATCTAGTTGATTCCAGATAACCTGAAGATTTGCTTGATGGTGATGATGTTGAGCAAGAAGTACCTCATGATCCTTGACAGACTGGTGTGTATCAACAACAACCAGGAGAGTTAGGCCAAATGGAGTGGAAACATCAACCCCACAGTCACAACTAAGGAGGTCAACGAGAATACGGAAGCCAAATCTTAAATACACCAATGCATCCATAGAAGAAGAAGCCATTGAATTTGTGATGTGTGAAGAAACATCACAGATTTCCAAGTGCCTTAAAGATATAGGCCGAAGAGATCACTGCAATGGAGCAAAATCAAACTTGGAATTCAGTGCCAAAGACAAGAAATGTGAAACCCATATCATGCAAATGGGTGAACAAGATAAAGTGTTGACAACTCAATGAGGTAAAAAGAATGAGCTAGTGTTAAGGAGTGTTGAAGATCAACACCAACCTATAGAATAAAGGCCCAGCCCATGAGAACTAATTAACACTTGAGCTAGGAAAAGTCTAGAAGAATGGTGGGGTTTCCACGTACATGCAAGATTAGGGTAGTTAATTCTAGCAAACGAAGTAGTGGAATAAGTTAGATATTTCTAGAATGGTGTTCTCATGCTTCTCCAAGGTAAGGCTTCCACCCCATTTGAATTCACCAAGAACTAAGAAGTCAGAAGCAACCAAGAAGTGATTCCATCGAGAGTGAGATATAAGGTCTTTATGAGAAGTGTGAGTGCTCGAGTTTGTCTCTAAAAAGTAAGTGTCATAACTTTTAAAATTGTGTCTTTTAGAGTTTGTGTGTTGTAACATTTTATAAGTGTAATACAAGTAATTTGTTTACTAGTTTTGTCTCTCCAGCACTTATATTATAGTTGTGTACTCTAATTTTCTAAAAAATGCACACCATGAATTTGATGGGTTCCATGATACTCACGAGAATTGTGAAGTTGTCACACGTCATTGGTTACGTGAGAAGTAGCGCCAGAATTAAATAACCAATTCTGAACAGAAGGAGCAGACACAGAAGCTCGATAAGAGGAAGCAGCAGCGACATAGGCTTGCAGCTCGAAGCTTGTTATTGAGGTTGTCCCTAGCCAAGTGCTCCTCCTCTTGGGAGTTGGGGACCAAAATCTATAAGGATGGGGCGAGCGAGGAAACACGTACATACACAAGAACGAGCCTTTTGACTAGGCCTGGCAAACGGGTCGTGTCTGTCGTGTTCGTGTCGTTTTCATGTAACACCTGTTATCTTAACGGGTCGTGTCGTGTCATACTTGTTATCTTGACGGGTCCTTAACAGGTCGGGTCACTTTACCCAACGGGTAAAGTGACCCGACCCGTTATGACCCAACGGGTATCCACTTGTGTAAATATTTTAAATTGACGATCGAATTCATTCATTGTATTCGTATAGGGTCAACAAGTGTGGTTTTAAAAAATCATCAAAATCGAAGTTAAAATAACCGTTAAATCGTGATTTTTTGTTTTATAACCGTTGAAAAGTTTTGTCTCATTACTTGATCTCTGAATGTTTGTTTTTTGTGATTTTTGGCATATGCGATCTCGAAGCATATACAAACAAGATTGACGGTTGGATAATTGAAATTAGTTTCATAGAATTCGTATCACATCCAAACGATAGATACTTAGAGTTTATTTATATTTTCATTAAGTATAACATAAGATTTTGTGGTATCCACTTGTGTAAATATTTTAAACTGACGATCGAATTCATTCATTGTATTCGTATAGGGTCAACAAGTGTACTTGTAAAAAATCATCAAAATCGGAGTTAAAATAACCGTTAAATCGTGATTTTGTGTTTTATAACCGTCAAAAAGTTTTGTCTCATTACTTGATCTGTGAATGTTTGTTTTTTGTGATTTTTGGCGTATGCGATCTCAAAGCATATACAAACAAGTTTGACGGTTGAATCGTTGAAATTAGTTTCATAGAATTTGTATCCCATCAAAACGATAGATTCACTAACACTTAGAGTTTATTTATATTTTTCATTAAGTATAACATAAGATTTTGTGGTATCCACTTATGTAAATATTTTAAATTGACGATCGAATTCATTCATTGTATTCGTATAGGGTCAACAAGTGTAGTTGTAAAAAATCATCAAAATCGAAGTTAAAATAACCGTTAAATCATGATTTTTTGTTTTATAACTGTTGAAAAGTTTTGTCTCATTACTTGATCTGTGAATGTTTGTTTTTTGTGATTTTTGGCATATGCGATCTTGAAGCATATACAAACAATATTGACGGTTGGATCGTTGAAATTAGTTTCATAGAATTTGTATCCCATCAAAACGATAGATTCACTAACACTTAGAGTTTATTTATACTTTCATTAAGTATAACATAAGATTTTGTGGTATCCACTTGTGTAAATATTTTAAATTGACAATCGAATTCATTCATTGTATTTGTATAGGGCTAACAAGTGTAGTTGTAAAAAATCATCAAAATCGGAGTTAAAATAACCGTTAAATTGTGATTTTTTGTTTTATAACCGTCGAAAGGTTTTGTCTCATTACTTGATCTGTGAATGTTTGTTTTTTGTGATTTTTGGCGTATGCGATCTCAAAGCATATACAAACAAGTTTGACGGTTGAATCGTTGAAATTAGTTTCATAGAATTTGTATCCCATCAAAACGATAGATTCACTAACACTTAGAGTTTATTTATATTTTTCATTAAGTATAAAATAAGATTTTGTGGTATCCACTTGTGTAAATAATTTAAATTGACGATCGAATTCATTCATTGTATTCGTATAGGGTCAACAAGTGTAGTTGTAAAAAATCATCAAAATCGAAGTTAAAATAACCGTTAAATCGTGATTTTTTGTTTTATAACCGTTGAAAAGTTTTGTCTCATTACTTGATCTGTGAATGTTTGTTTTTTGTGATTTTTGGCGTATGTGATCTCGAAGCATATACAAACAAGTTTGACGGTTTGATCGTTGAAATTAGTTTCATAGAATTCGTATCCCATCAAAACGATGGATTCACTAACACTTAGAGTTTATTTATACTTTCATTAAGTATAACATAGGATTTTGTGTTATCCACTTGTATAAATGTTTTAAATTGACGATCGAATTCATTCATTGTATTCGTATAGGGTCAACAAGTGTAGTTGTAAAAAATCATCAAAATTGAAGTTAAAATAACCGTTAAATCGTGATTTTTTGTTTTATAACCATCGAAAAGTTTTGTCTCATTACTTGATCTCTGCATGTTTGTTTTTTGTGATTTTTGGCGTATGCGATCTCGAAGTATATACAAACAAGTTTGACGGTTTGATCATTGAAATTAGTTTCATAGAATTTGTATCCCATCAAAACGATAGATTCACTAACACTTCGAGTTTATTTATACCTTCATTAAGTATAAAATAAGATTTTGTGGTATCCACTTGTGTAAATATTTTAAATTGACGATCGAATTCATTAATTGTATTCGTATAGGGTCGACAAGTGTAGTTGTAAAAATTATCAAAATCGAAGTTAAAATAACCGTTAAATCGTGATTTTTTGTTTTATAACCGTCGAAAAGTTTTGTCTTGTTACTTGATCTCTGAATGTTTGTTTTTTGTGATTTTTGGCGTATGTGATCTCGAAGCATATACAAACAAGATTGATGGTTGGATCGTTGAAATTAATTTCATAGAATTCGTATCCCATCAAAACGATAGATTCACTAACACTTAGAATTTATTTATACTTTCATTAAGTATAACATAAGATTTTGTGGTATCATCCACTTGTGTAAATATTTTAAATTGACAATCGAATTTATTCATTGTATTCGTATAGGGTCAACAAGTGTAGTTGTAAAAAATCATCAAAATCAGAGTTAAAATAACCGTTAAATCGTGATTTTTTGTTTTATAACTGTCGAAAAGTTTTGTCTCATTACTTAATCTGTGAATGTTTGTTTTTTGTGATTTTTGGCATATGCGATCTCGAAGCATATATAAACAAGTTTGACGGTTTGATCGTTGAAGTTAGTTTCGTGTATCCCATCAAGTTCAATGGTGTGTATATATATATATATATATATATATATATTTATTATGTAGATTTAAATCTATTTATTTTGTACGTATAATTATTATAGTTTTTTTAGGGGTATAAAATTTAATTTAAAATTTAATATATATATATATATATATAATTATTATAGTTAATATTTTGGGGGTATAATTATTATAGTATATATAATTATTATAGTTAATTTAATATATATTTATATATATAATTATTATAGTTTTAAACTTTTTAGGGGTATAAAATTGTTAAATTAATATATATAATTATTATAGTATTTTTTAGGGTTATAAAATTATTAAATTAATATTCTGTTTATCGTGTATCGTGTTACCCACGTGTATACCCGAACCAACCCGTTATCTTAACAGGTGCTTATCGGGTTACCCGATAATACCCGATTCATTATCGTGTCGACTCAAACACCTGTTAATTTCGGGTCGTGTGTGTCGGGTTATCAGGTCGTGTCAGGAATTGCCAGACCTACTTTTGACAGAGAAGTCCCAAGTAATAAACAAATAAAACAAATAAAACAAATATAAAGCTTCTGTTTCACATTCATCGTCCAACTCTGGTTGTTCAACATCAAATTCTGATCGACCTCAAAACTTATAAGAACCTTAAAAAAATAACGCTTATACGAACAAACCTAGTGTATCCAGTAAATTCTGTACTTGAGAGTTCCACAGTTCTTTCTGGAAGGCTGATCCCTCCCCCACGGAAGACGTGTTCCATTCTTCAGACTAGGTGAGGAAGACCAATACAAAAAGGATGATGAACAGGACGAGTAAAAATAGAATCATCATTAACTGGCCCTTTACACCTGCCTTCTTCATCACTGTAGCCACTTTTTTCTGCAAAAATCAGAAAAGCGATAAATCTTTTCATCTCTTCTGGGATCAGTAATTATATATTTCAGTCAATTAGCAAGCTGAAGAAAATAAAAGCGAAACTATTCCAGTGGACGGAATCTCTTGGTAGGAGAATCTATCAAGTCAACAAAAACTCACCTGAACAAAATCAAGACGATTTGATGTACCGTCCATTTCCGTGCCCAATTCATCTATAATCTTCTCCTGAAGCACCAAAACACTTAAGAATTTAGTAAATGAAAGTGGCAAGAACGACTTGAAGTGCAGGGCGGAAAGAGCTCATTTGCAAGTAATAGATACACGTTCAGAAATGCATCAAAATGCTCATCTGTTTTCTGTTGCTCCCATTCCATCATATTATTCACAGTTCATATGTAGTAATCACAATACTGTACAGTGATATACAAAATTCTTACCTGTGCGAGGAGCTCTTCATGAATAGTAAGTCCAACACCTCCAATTCTCTCCACACTTGCACTAAGTTGGTCCAACTCCTCATCCTGTTGCCTACAAGCATCAATTGACAGACATAAGATCAAAAGAAACAGAGTTATACAGACAACTGGCTAAAGTTCGGGAAAGAAAAAAAAATTGCCTTCAGTTAGAAAGCATTTTTCGAAACTCAGTGAGGGAGAGAGGAACAAGGGGAATTCAGATTTCAATTAGCGACATTTGATAAAAGGTGCATACAACTCCGTATTTATGATAACAAAAAAGGTTTACCATCAAATTACAAGCTTGGATGATTTGACCCAAAGAGAATCTCTATATTTTCCTTTTAGAATTTAAAAGCCTTCGTAATTCCGATGATTAATTCAATAATTTTAATAAACAACGAAGACAATTCATTCCAGCTTGTATAAAGTATGAAGTATGAACAAGCGCCCGCCAACCGTTGAATTTAGCAAACACTTCCCAAACAATAGAATGATAATTTGTCACCATCTATGTGTGCCACATATATGTGTCAATTGAAAGCGAATTGAGTGTGAAAGGTTGAAAAATATAAAACAAAAAGAAAAGTCAAAACCTTACTTTATGAGAAGCAATTGTCTATCTGATTCTGAAGTTATGAAGTCGTCGTTATGTTGTGCAGCATACTGGTTGGATCTATTGGTCTCCTGAGAATTCGTCAGCCTCATTAGTTCTCGACGCATCCCATTCACGCTAGTTCCAGAAGACTCCTTTCCAGCTTCCACTGCTTTCTTTACAGAACCCACCTGATAAACTATTTGATTAATTGAGGAACTGCCGTACAGTCATCCAAAGGAAAAAAGCAACCGTGTAATATGCTGTACAAATACACAGCAGAGCGTAAACCGCACAAAGGATCATTATGCAATAAAATATCGAGAAAACACAGAAAAATTGAAGCTATATTTCTGGTCACAAAACCCCACACTCAGAACGTGAGAACCCCACACTCAGACTGAGCCGTTAGTAAAAGATGTGGGTAATTGTAAGTCATCAAGACAAGGTTTGTTATGACTTATGACAACACCACAGGTAACGAGAATTACCAGATATGAGATCTTCACAGTCACTAAAATGTTCAAAAGAGTACAGCTTAACACACGATACAATTATACCTGGGCACAAGCAGTGCTTGTCCATCTTCTTCGTTTTTCAAGTTCTACTTCATCAATGCCATACCATGTCGGATCTCTAGCTGCTACAGAAATTGCTTTGTTCAACTCATCTACCTTCCTATCAAGAAAGCATGCTTTCAGTAGTTGCAAACAGAAGTTGAATTAAATTATTAACATAGGTTCGGGAAAAGAAAGGATTGAAAATACAAAAACAAGAAAATTACATTGCACCCCAAGTCACCTTATCTCTGACAAGAACAAAATGTCGGTCTACAAAACTATTATTGGATTGGATTTACAGAGTTTTCAATGGATGTATAGAGATCAATAAATATATTTTTTGAGAATTGTTATTAGCATTCCAAATCACTCCAAACCTTCTACATTTAAAAAGAAAAATACACTTGTAAGGAGTGCACAATGAAATTTTTGGAGTGCCAATAAGATTTCCCTTGCTTTTAAAAAATATGAAAATTTGAAGGAAACTTAAAGATTTGCTAAACCAATCTTTGATGTATCAAGTATATGACATGTAAAGTTAATTTAGCGCACACCACTAACCAGTATCGATCTAATGCTTCTACTACAGTGTAGAAACTACCTTTAGTCATTTAGTCCTCAATATTTAGCACAACAACAACAACAACAAAGCCTTTTCGCACTAAGTGGGGTCAGCTGTATGAATCCTAGAACGCCATTGAGCTCGGTTCTGTGCCACGTCTTTCGTTAGATCCAAGTACTCTAAGTCTTTTCTTAGGTCTCTTCCAAAGTCTTCCTAGGTCTTCCTTTACCCCTTCGGCCCTAAACCCAATATTTAGCACATAAAAAAAATAAAAGCATACGTTGGATGTTTCATCCCTTTGTGCACCAACTGTGGGAATGAATTTTATTTTAACATATTTGGTTAACAGAGTGGTTAATGGATGGATACAGTAAATAACCATTAGTCGGTCACATGGGTTCATCTTCTATATTTTCCGTTTTTCTTTTTAGATGAGTATTTGTGCAGTCTTGTTGACGAAGTAACACATAACCAATTCTTGGGCTTAATACCACAAAAAATCTCAATGCTGTACATGTCTGAGGTCAAGGGAAATTTGCTACAATAACAGATATTTTCATTTTTGGGAGCAGCCTCTCCATAAATGGGGGTAAGGCTAGCCGACATTTACCTCTCCCAGACCCTGCGTAAAGCGGGAGCCTTGTGCACTGGGTACGACCTTTTTAACAGATATTTTCATTTGAGCTATCGACATATAATAAGCTATACTTAAAATGATAAATTGAATACAGTACTCTATTTCTTTAATTATTTTGAGAAATCGTCCTACTGACAAACCCAATTTAAATGGTTTTAGTACTGGTTTGGTACTGATGTGCTTTTATAAAAAGTGGGTATAAACAAAAGCTGAGCAAAAAAAGGTGTTTGGTAAACACTTAAAAACAGCTTATTTTCACAGTTTTGGGTGAAAAAAAGCTGAAAACGTGAAGCCCTATTTCCAAGAAGTAAAGAATCAACTCTCTTGTTTAACTAATCACAGTTTCTATGACAGGCCATTCACATTGAGAAGAAAATTTCAGTGCACTGAAACTCAGTTGCAACATTTCAGTCGTTATTGATATGTTCATGAATATTCAACAAATACAACTGAAATTGTTATGTGTTACCAGCTATTTCTAATGTTTCATTCAGACATCCATGTGGTCATCAATGTGCCACTAAAAGTCCCATATTTTGGTTATATGCCAACTCCTGCGTCACAGCACTGACAACCACCTATGATCCATTCTTTATAATAGAGAAACACAGATAGAATTAAATCACATGTGAAAGTATTAACGCACCTGCCATTCAATGCTACCACAAGAAGCAAGCAGCTCCTTTGTGAGATGTGCTTGCTCTCCATTATCAGATGAAATACGCTCCCATTGGTGAAAAGAAGACTGCAACTTATCAATCTATTCAAGAAGGAAATGTCATAGCCCGGATTAATTCCTACTCTCAAACATAATGCGCAGAAAAAAAAATTCTGCACATATACTCAATACCAAAATCATCTGTCAGTAAAAAATTGGAAGATGTGGATGACAGTGTGTTGAGGCATCTGGGTTTGTATGCGTGTGTGTGTGTGTGTGTGTGAAGAGCGGAAAGTAATACTCCAAAGAGAGCATACGAGTCTACTAAAGGGGGACTTTGAACTGGATAATATGTATCAAATGAAACATATAAATTGTACATCATTCCAGGAGCTTCCAAATGACTTAAGTAATTTGACAACTTACAGATTCTTGAATCTCCTCTTTCACAACATAGAACGGATCTTGTGCTGATGGCATTGTGAACCTTAAGGAACTAATCTATCCTATGAGCATCCAAAAAAGAAACTTCCGTTAGAAAAACCATATCCCTAACTGCAACTAAACATGAGAATACATGCATATATAAACAAGAAATTCAATTCTACTGAAAGATCCACTAAATAAATCAACTGAAACAGAACATTCAGCAAGAGTTAGTGAAAAGTGTTTGGTCGGCCTTAGCCCCACTACATTTTGATTAGCATGAACTGAAACTCGATTTCCGAATATCCAAATGAGTTTTAAGTAGAACCGATCTGTACCTTTTCCTTCATTTTACATTTCCAAATATGCAAATGAGTTTGTTTTTTCTTTCTATTTAATAATTTTTTTGAAATGGCAACCGAGTAATCCTTAATGTCATGAAAAATCAACAATCATCAATTGCCATCAATGCCACACTATATTCCCGAAAAAATATAATTACAAGTTGATCATACACAAAAATAATCAAGTCCTACAACAAGCAGATTCAAACAAGGAATTTTCGACATTCATTAGTGACATACAACTGCATCGAAGAATGAAAGTACAAATTACTTGGATAATTAGCTGAATTAGATCCACTTAAGCATATCATATGCATACGAATTGCTTAATCACATTAACAACTGATCAAATCATTGAATTCATTCTCCACGTCGGATAAGTAACTAATCAGACAGAATTTCAGATCAAAATCACCCAAAAATTGAATAACCTGACTGATTTTCCGCATACCGAACACGTTATACGAATCAAAATTCTCGCCCAATACACCAAAATTCCGATTTGAAACAGCATATACATATATATATATATATATATATATATGGGACAGAAAAAATTGAGAATAGTGATGGAGGGGATACCTGTACGGACTGAACGGAGAGACGGGGACCTGATGTGTGAGATCCTCGTGAGGACTAATGCACGGAAGCAGACGAAGAAGTATTGAGAAGACGAAGTTGTGAGAGAAGAATTGTGTGGGCTTCGGTTTTGGACATGGAAGAGCTTTAACTTTTACCAAGGCCCAGAAAGGCCCGTATATTATTTTTATGGATCCCATATATCCTATATTCTTATTATTGGTTGAAACGACGTAAGCCGTAGTAGTTTTTTTTTTAATACATCTCTAATCTTTAATATTAGAAAAGATACACTCAATTTTGGTGTCTTAAGCCTTCACCAACAAGTTTTAGACAAAAAACCCTTGAAACAAAAAAATCTACTACTGACTGAATATAATGCAACCAAAATAGCAGGGATACTTTTGTCAAAAAAATTAGAAACAAAACAGAAAAAAAAAAATCTCTCTAATATTAGAAAGCCAGCAATTAATTTGGTGTCCTAAGACTTCACTAAAAAGTTTTAGACAAAAACACCCTTGAAACAAAAAAATCTACTACTAATTGAAAATAATGCAAACAAAATAGCAGGGATACTTTTATCATCTCTAATATTAGAAAGTCAGCCATTAATTTTGGTGTCTTAAGGTCTCACCAAAAAGTTTTAAACAAAAATACCCTTGAAACAAAAAAATATACTACGAGCTTCATAACTTCTCTACTCTATTTGTTCGGTTACAAAATTATGATCTCTCTTCTTCGCCCAAGCTCCTCTCCCAATTCAAGCACTCATTCTGTCTTTCTCTCTTGCTCTAACTAAGCCACCGCCGCTGGTTCAGAACCGCCACCACCACCGCCGATTCAGATGGTTTTAAAATTTTACAGTGTCATTGTTTATCACTTCCCTCGCCTTAATTTCTTGATTGTTTCTTCTTTGCTTTTTGGTCCATTTTTTTTTAACACATTTTATTACTATGAACAAGTATTGGATGAATTGTAGACCCGGACCTTTTTGTCAATAAGAACAAAAAAGCTGTTCGTGGTTTCAGATTTAGAGAAGAAGAGATGGAAATTTTCACTGGGTAAGTATTTCATTGTGTTTAAATTTCACTAGGTTTTTAATTTCACCTTTATCTTTTGTAGTTGTGCAAAAATCAAGGAGAAAAGAACAAGGCGAGGGAGAAACAGAGAGAGAAGTCAACAAAGACTCTATTTTCTCTAAATTCCTTCCAGCATGTGTCCACCATTTACCAATGTTCTAAAAAATAGCCTAGGCGGCAGCTAGGCACTAGGCGGTGGTGAGCCGAGGCATTTTCTTGCAAATTGGTTGGAAAAATCGGATGGGCTCTAGGCGGCGCCTAGGCGGGCTAGGCGGCTAGGTGGGTTAGGCGGTTTTTATTTTTTATTTTTAATGAAATTAAAAAATAAAATAAAAAATCCTATCTAAGTCTAAGTGGTTTAAAATTGTGAACTTGTTGTACATTTGTCATCCTACAATACTCATCACTATGGTTATATCGCATATATGCTTAATGTGTTTTTAAATTTTGGACTTGTTGGATACTCTTTTTGCATTTTATCATTTTTTATTATCTTATTCATGAATTTCATACAAGTATAATTTTTTGTAAGTGTCATGCATTTATTTACAAGATATACAATAAATTTACCTAAATCTGCCCAGGCACCCGTCTAGACCCTGCCTAGGCGCCTCGGCACTAAGCGCCAACTCGTCGCCCGACTAACGTCTAGCGTTTTTTAGAACCTTGGTTGGATGCGCCATCGACGTACAAATGCCAGAAGTCTCCATCAGGTGAAGTAGGGGCTAGGGCATGCTCGGTTGCCTCCGGGGCATTGTTGGGCAGCTCTATCACGTTGCCTAGGCTAGGCTTTAATTCTGTTATGAAGTCCACCAAGGCTTGGGCCTTTATTACCGTACAGGGTCGTAAAACTAAGCCATATTGGCCAAGTTCCAACGCCTATTTCATTACTCATTGAGAAGCATGTAGGATTGATCGTAGAGGATACTGAGTCATGACGATGACTATATGAGCTTGAAAAGATGGTTTGAGCTTCTAAGCTGCAACAACTAGTGCCAAATTTAATTTCTCAATCTTCAAATATCTAGTTTCCACATCGAGAAAAGCTTCATAAGTGTAAAATACCCGTCGTTAGGCCTCCAACTCTTCTCGTATGAGGGCAGAACTCACTGCTACTTCCGAAACAACCAATAGATGTATAAATCCACCGCTGCTTCTGGCTTGGATAGGGAGGTGATGTGAGATATTTCTTCAAGTATTGGAAAGCTTTTTCGCATTCATCATCTCATTTGTCTCGATGTGCCCTCTTGATTACTTTGAAAACATGCTTGCATTGATCAGTGGACCGCAAAAGGAAGCGATTGAGCGCGTTTGCTTGTCCGATCAAGCTTTGGATCTCCTTCAAGGTAGTTAGAAAGTTTATCTCTAAGATCACTCAAATTTGCTTGGGATGTGCTTCAATTCCTCGTTGGGTTACTAGGTACCCTAAAAATCTGCATTAAGATACTCCGAATATGTATTTGGCGAGATTGAGCTTCATCTTGTACTTTCTAAGGATGTCGAAAGTTTCCGCCAAGTTGCCGACGTGGTCTAATCGCTGCTTACCCTTCACCATGATGTCATCGATATAGACCTTCATGGTTACTCTAATTTGCATCTTAAAAATCATGTTCACCAGTCGTTGGTAGGCTCCAACGTTCTTGAGGCAAAAATGCATGACCTTGTAACAGTAGACATCTCGCTCGATCACGAACACACTCTTTGTCGGGCTTATGCATGGCTATTTGGTTGTAGCCAGAGTATGCATCCAAGAAACTGAGCAGCTGGTTCCTAGAAGTTGAATCTACTAATAGATTGATTCGGGGAACTGGATAAGGAACATTTGGGCATGCTTTGTTGAGGTCGGTGTAGTATATGCAAACCCTCAATTTGCCTTTCTCTTTCTTCATTACTAGCATGACGTTGGCAAGCCATGCTAAGTGTGCTATCTCTTCTATGAATCCAGCCTCCATTAGCTTGTCGATTTCCGCTTCTATGATTGCCACTAGTTCGGGTGCGAAATGTCTTCTTTTTTGGATCACCAGTTTGGCAGTAGGGTCCATGTGCAGCTTATGGCAAGCTATCTTAGGGTCGATGCCTAGCATGTCAGAAGGTGACCATGCAAAGACGTAATGATTTTCCTTAAGGAAAGTTGTGAGTTCCTCCTTTTCTTTCGGGCTCAAACGTGAGCCGATTCTAACAGTTTTCTCCGGCTGCTGGGGATTAAGAATGATGTGCTCGACATCCTCTTCGGGTTTCCATCCCGTCTCGTCTACTAATGCATTGATTTAGACACCATTTTATTGATCTGTCTTCTGTAATTGTTATTTGGTAGCTTCGTCGTCCTTTTAGACCTCGGTAGCCTTTATGGGGGTAAAGGTCTTCTTTTTTTACTCATTCAGTACTTACACAGTGCATCGTCAAGATATAGCCTGGTCAGACTTGATTTCTTCGACTCATCCAGGGATGCGAAATCAGATTTTTTTATACTTGACGGAGGTTACGGCATCTAACTTTATCAGCCAAGGTTACCCTATAATCCCATTGTAAGGAGACATGTCACTTATTATCGTGAACATCTGCTTTGAGAAAACTGGAGTGTTCTTACGTCAAGTGTAATATCACCGATGGCAGTCGAGGTGTGTTCGTTGAATCCGGTGAGTACCTTTTTGGCATATAATTATGATTTCCAGGCCTATCTTCTGAATTACTGAAAGCTGAAGTAGGTTGACTGTACTTCTGTTGCCAACCATCGTTCTGTCGACTAAAACATAGGCTAATTGGATAGATACCACTAATGCGTCGTCATGCGGAAAGTCGACGACTTCGGCATCTTGCTTGGTGAAGCCAATAATGGGTCTAGGTTGGGTGTTTATTGCCTGGACCTATGAGACTAGTAAAGCCTGATGGATCTTCATTTTCTTGGAGTTGTTGGTGGTCCCCAAGTGCTCGGATTCGGCAAAGATGTCATTAATCTGAATTGTCTTGGTTGACGGCTCTTCATCGGCGTCTACGTTTCTCCTAGGATGCGTAGCTGGCTTGTCTAAGTATTTATCAACCTTGCCTTCTTTCACCAACTTTTCTAGGTAGTTCTTCCAAATGTAACAGTCGTCAATTGTGTGACCGGGACCTCAATGGAATACGCAATACTTAGTATGGTCCAACTTGGAGGTATATCCCTTTGATTGCTTTGGCAGCTTGAACCAAGGTTTGCTGTTGATGTCGCAGATAAGTTAGTGAATTGGGATCGAAAACCTATAGTAGTTCTTGGGCGTCGAGCCTTCTTTAGTTGTGGATCAGTCCCTACGTTTGGCCTCCTGCCTGCTTTTGTTGTTGTACTGCTTCCCGTCCTCCTTCTTTTAAGCTACTTCTGATTCTCTTCGAGGTTGCTCGGGTGCCTTGGTCGCTCGTTGAGCTTCATCCCAAAGTGCATGCTTATCTGCCAGAGTGAAAAAGTCTGCGAAAGTTAGATCTTCTTTCATAATCAGTTCTCCGAACAGCGAGTGGTCTGTTGGGAGTCTTTTTTGGAAAACTGCACTAGTTATCGAGTTGTTTCATTCGACTATCTTTGCCTTCTCTGCTTTAAACTTCTTCACATAGTCACAAAATGACTCATTTAGGTTCTTCTTGATCGAGTGGTAAGATGAATAATCCATGGTGAAAACCAAAGAAAGCTCATCGAACTTCGAATAGACTGTGGCGGTAGGGTGTGGAACTAATCTTGCTCCTCACCTTGTAAAGTGGTGGCGAATATTTTGCACATGAGAGAGTCGTTGTTCTAATAAAGGACAACTGTACTTCGGTAGTGCTTCAGGTGTCTCTCCGAGTCATAATCTCATTTAAAAGATATGAAATGTGGCATGCTAAACTTGCGTGGAGGCTCTGCTTGCTCGGTCTCGTCCTTAAAAGGTGACCTGCCTATGTTGGTCAGTAACCTCGTTGCATTGGAAATTACGCAATCGCTCGGTCATGTGCCTCTCTAGCTCTTCTTAAATTTACCTTTGTTAGGGGTAGTGGAGCTCTCAGCTGCTCTTCCATGTGTTCGGCTTATCTATGCCGCAGCTGCGGTGCATATGGTACGATCCTAGCAGG